AAATATTATTGGGGTTTATTCACCATAATAATCAAATATTTTAAGCAGTTAAAATGACAATTAGTGGACTCCCCTTTAGATCAGAGCAGTAACAGATTTAGATTTAGTATATGTTTCATGTGGGTTCAGAGGAATTAACATAATCAACAAAGAAGGCAGCTAAATACTCTATTCATAGAACTTTAATAATGAGTATATTTAATCATTTGAATCTACTTCTAATGGGTAGTATATTTTTATAGGAATATCATAATTTCTATTTGTATACCATTTGCAATTTAATAATTTATCTTTATCCCATTTAGAAATGTAGAACTTTTATTTGGTATAAAATATAACTTTTCAGACAGATCTTTTGAACACTAATTACAATTAACAAAGTGAACTGCTTGCAGTAGCTGTATAAACAGGAAATGTTTTCCTCTATAACACTACATTTAAGAACCAATTTCAATTATTATCAAAATTTAGCACAGGCTCCAATTTGATAAATAGCTTATTTATTTCTCAAGATGGAAATTGGCTTTATATAGCAAGTGATGTTAAGGGTGTATTTATGATGAGTATAAAAAAATAATAATTATATGAAGATAATAATAATATAAATGATACTTCTGTGAAATTAATAGTTGCTGCTCATGGAACTTTTGGATTAAGGGCATAATAAGTTATTGTATCAAAAGATAATCACTATATTTATGCTTTTGATTTCTGGTATGGATTTTTTTACACAAATGTTGAAGAAGTAATTAAAAGTTAGGAAAATTAATACCCAATTTAATTATCTTTTATTTCCTATTGGCCTTTTTAAGACATACAAAGAGCTTGCTAAACTATTCTTATTAATCAAGACGAAAGTCTACTTTTTATAGGAGTAAGATAGCATGGAATTATAATATTAGATATAAGAAATAGAACATAAATTTAAGTTTTTGAATTTATAAGGCTAGACTCTCTCATTTTTTCAATAGCACTTTCAAAATAAGAAGATTTTTTATACGTGACAACTTCAGATACTATATTAACTTATACAAACGATTAGCCTAACTTAAATTAAGATCTCCCTAATTTATTTAACATTCATTAAATAAAATATCAAGATTTTCTAAATTCAA